GGAATCGAATCCCTCCCCTTCCCCTACCCAAAACCGACACCCTAACCCTACACCTCCAACTCGAAATCACCCTAAACGAGTTTTAGGGTTTCGCTTATGGTGGTTTTGGGTGGCAGGGATCTCCTTTGCGTGGCATGAATTGCTTACCTTCCCTCATTAAATTAACCGACGGATTCTTAGGTATGCTAATGTGGGGTTTAATTGAGTAATGCGAATTTGGGTTTTAATTGGGTTGTGTTGGCTGAAAAACTAGTGTTGGTGGCTGATTAGTGGTCGAAATGGGGGATTGGGAAGGCCGACGCGGCCAAAAAAGGGATGGGGACAGGGATGGGTTTTTGAGCGGAGAGAGGGGCTAAGATCGAGGTTGGGATCGAGTTTTCGAGGGAGGGGGCTGGGAACACGACGCTGGCGCCGACAGGCTGGGTGGTCGGAGTCGCGGGCGGTGGGTTTGATGTTGAACAGTGGTTGTGGCTTGGGCAGTTGGTGGTTGGGAAGAAGTGGTGGTTGGGTGGTGGTAATGGAAATACTAACGGTGTAAGACAAGTGGTAGTGATTTTTAACAAACTCTAATTTAGGTGGTAGCAAAGTTAAAAAAATAAAAATAAAAATAACCGGTAGCACATGTGAAGCGAGATGTTTTACCTGGTAGCAAATGTCATAATTTCCTTTCTGAAATGGGGGATTTGAGGCAATTGTTTTGTATTATCCAAGCTAGGGTTTATTACTCATTATTTGTTATGTATTTACAGAAATTAATTGACTTCAACCATGAAGAGATTAAGGTTTTAATTTTTTTTAACATAAGCAAAAAAGGGGAAACGAAGATTAGCAGTTATAAATAGATGAGAGGGAAACAATTTTAGGAGGGAAATACTAATTGGTGGGCCCCTCGGAGATTCTTGCCGGAAAACTTGATAAGGTAATGCTACTCAAACTTTTTAAGATTTTGTGGTAGTTTTTTTTTTAAAAAAAAAGGTTTTAAATGGTTGTTGTTCTTAAAACTTGTCATTTAAATGATAGTTCTTCGCAAAATTAGCCAAACGAGGGAAAGTGAATGAAAATCAGTCTTACCTTATTTTAAACCTCCTATACAAGGCCTAAAACAGTAGCTCCTTTTGCTCTCTTGCTTAAAAACCAATATTAGAGTTCGGTTGGCTGATACAAATCACTTGACCTAAACCAGAATTGTACATGTATGACATTATCCAAATTAGAATAAAAAATGTGTTACATATAAAATATTTTACTCCCTTTTTATTTTAATAAGTAATCCAAATTCACAAAGTTTCATATGTGGCTGGCCACACCGTGCGGCCAACCACAATTATTTTTTATTTTTTTTAATTCTTTTTCTCTCTCCTCTTTTCTTCTTCTCCAAGCTGAGGAAAAAAAAAGACATCTTGATTTTCTCTCTCATCAAACACTTTTCACACTCCCATCATCTTCTCTCTCTTAAAACCATCAATTTTTCTCTAAACTCCATTGTAACTGCTCCAAAATTCAAGCAATTTTGTTCTACTTTTTCTCAAATTCAACAAATTTTAGTCAAACTTACATATAAACAAGTTGAAGTGACCAATTTGATTAGAATTTTTGCAACTACGAACCCTATTATGACAAAAGAACAAATTGAAGAAAATTTGAATGAAACAAGGTAAAGAACAATAAAATCGTACATAAATTTGTTCTCAAATGCAAAGGTAAGTTATACTCCAAAATTTTTGAAGAATTTGATGATTTTTTGGGCGATTTTTGATTAATATTTTTTTAACAATTTTAATGGTTGTTAGTGGTATGGAGTTGGTGGTGGTGTGGTGGAGTTGATGTTTTGAGGACGGCGGTTGAGAAAGGTTGGTGTTGGTGGTGGTTACGGTGGGTTTGGGTGTGGGTTAATGGTTACTAGGTCGGGGGCTACTAGGGGTTACTAGGTTGGTCAGGGGTTACTAGGCCGGTTAAGGGTTACTAGGTAGGGGGGTTACTAAGGGTTACTAGGTCGGTTAGGGGTTACTAGGTAGGGGGTTACTAAGGGTTACTAGGTCAGTTAGGGGTTACTTGAGGTTACTAGGTTAGGGGTTACTAGGTCAGTTAGGGGTTACTTGGGGTTACTAGGGGTTACCAGATCAGTCAGGGGTTACTAGGGGTTACCAGGTCAGCCAGAGATTACTTAGTCAGGGGTTACTAAGTCAGTCAGGGGTTACTTAAATGGGGTTAGTTGAGGGGTTACTAGAAGGGTTACTGATATAGCACCTTGCCGCACCGGCCGCACAGTGCGGTTGGCCGCACCAGAAACGCGCTGATCCAAATTAGGGGTATCGTGTGACCGGACTACTGGAGCATACATTAGAATATAGAGGGAAAATCTACTATTAAAATAGTGTTGTCATACCGATTAGAATGTTGGGTATTGAAAGATGGGAGTGGCATTTGATGCTTATATTAAGATGGATTTGTGGGAACACGTTATATAATATTATTAGAATAATATATTAAAAGGAAAATTGGATTTGCAGACATGATAAAATGAGTGAGAACCGATTGTGTTGGTTTGAGCATACATCAGCCAAAAGTCGGAAAGTTATTGAGTGTGTCATTTAGTATGAAACGAAGGAAGTACTATATAATATTAAACAAATAATGAGAGATGATTGATTTTGGTGTCTTGGTATATATAGGTAGCTTTTCTAAAACGTTAAAATTAATAGCGTTTAGAAGTAGAGGGTAGCGTTTGACAAATTTTATTACTTTTAAAACAATAATTACATGAATTTTGATATATATTAGTATTGCAACCGCAACTTTTGCCAAACACTCATACTATCAACCGTTACCTTGACAGCTAACCTCTACCCACTACTAATTGACCGCTACTCGCTACCTTAACAGCTACCCGCTACTCAATTACAAAAAGCTACCCGCTACCGCTACTTTTTTCAAACATGACCTTAAAGGTCAAGATTTCGGTGGTGGGGATGGTGGTTGTTTTCTTTTTAAGGAAAGTTAAGCGCTCACTAGGTTAGTATATTTTTTTAGTCTTTGTTTTCGGAAATTTCACCAATTGCCCCTGAGTTAAATTTTTTATTTACCATATACCCACAACAATTTTCAAATTCACCATATGTCCCTGAATTTATCAAAAATGTTACAAAATGCCCAATTGACTAACGGATGTTAACTCCGTTAGTCATTTAGACTTAATTTGCCACGTGGCAACCTATAATTGGATGTCATATATGTATTATTTAAATTTTAAAATAAATATTAAATTAATTATCAAAAAAATAAAAAAAAAAACCACCAACCACCACAACCCAGCCCTAGCCACCGTGGAAGCCACCTGAACCCTTGCGTCGGCCACTCTCCCCGGTCCCTCCTACCCCCATCGACGACACTGAATCGGTAGCCACTCCCCTCCTTGTCGCCACCCTTCTCCTTCCCGAAACCACCTTCCCCCAACCCTAAAACCCCACCCACAACTTGAAAATACCAGTGCCCAGTCGGCGCCCAGCCAGCCCCCTAACCGTACCCCATCCCCTATGCTGGCGAAGCTTGTTCACCCATCCCACAACAATCTCCAACCACTTTCCCCCCTTAAACCACCATCCTCGGCACCTTAATTAAACCCCAAAATCGAAATCCCCAAATCGAAACCCTAGATTTCAATTTTAGGGATTTCGACTTTGGGGATTTCGATTTTGGGGTTTTGGCGTGGTGGTTCAGGGAGGGGAAAATGGCGATTTGGGTTCACCGGTGCGGGGAGGGGTTCTTGGAGGCTAGCGGTGGGGTGGATTTATTAAGGAGAGAGAATAGGGTTTTTCGATTGGGGTTTTGGTGTTTGTCGCGGTGGGGAATAGAGGAGGGAGGGGGGTGGATGCCGGCACTGATGCGGAGGAGGGGGTGGATGCCGGCGATCAGCTGGCAGAGGGTTGGGTTGATGGGGGAAGGGAGGTAGCTGGGTTTTTTTTAATATTAAATATAATTATATTAATTAATTAAATTAAAAGAAAACCAATCCCAGCATGGCACGTGACATATTTATTCTTAATGACTAACGGAGGTTAATGTTGTTACTCATTAGGGCATTTGGTGACAATTTTGTTAAAATCAAGTGTATACGATGAATTTGAAAATTGTTATGGATATATGGTGAATAAAAAAATAACTTAGGGGCATTTGGTGAAATTTTTCGTTTTTTATTTTTATTTTTTTTATAATTTTTTTAGTCACGTAGTCAACTTATTTTTAAGATTAAAATTTTAATTTATTGATTCATGTTGCAGACTACTAACCTATCTTTGATAATTGATATTAATACAATATTTGTTTTTTTAAACATTTTATTATGTTTTGGAGGTGGTCGTGTTAGGCCCTGTTCTCTTCACCTTAAAAAAATAATATTAAGTAAAAATAATTTTAGTTCAGTAAAAATAAGTTCAGTTCAGTAAATTTAATTTCAGTTCAGTAAAAATAATTTTAGTTCAGTAAAAATAAGTTCAGTTCAGTAAAATTCAGTTTTCTTATTGAAAAATTATAATAGAAAATCAGTAAAAATAATTTAAGTTCAGTAAAAATAATTTCAGTTCAGTAAAATTAAGTCCAGTTCAGTAAAAATAAGTTCAGTTCAGTAAAAATAATTTCAGTTCAACAAAATTAAGGTGAATCAAACAGGGCCTTACTCATGTACTCGTGTTAAATTATTAAGTGTACGGTGATTACGAGTGTAGCGTCTAACTATTGGATTAAGTGATTAGAGCAACTCCAATGGTTGCTTTCAAGGACTAGCTTGCAATTTTAATAATTTTCAAGCTAATAGCCCAACCATTGGAGTATATTTAATAATTAGCTTAGTCAAGCTAATGCCAAGCAAATTAGCTTAACTAAGCTAATTAACTTAGAAATTAATTGTCTCTAATAAAATATTAATTATTTAAAAAATAAAGCTGAAAAATTTAAATATTAATTAGCCTAAATATTGTGATATGAATTAGCTAGAAGGAATAATAGCTTTGCAATCTTAGGTGGCATGGCAAGCTAATTTGAAAGAAATAGGAATTTCTCTTTCTCCAATCTCCCGTACGTAACTTTGCTAGAATTCAGATTTCAAACCCAAAGTTGCCGAATTGAAAGATGGCAATTCCCGGTAGTTTAAACCCTATTCAGCTTGATTTTTTCAATTCTCAAGGTCACCCAATTCACCACTTCTTCATCTCTTCATCTCTCTTCTCACCTTCTTCTTTAATTCAATTTCAATTTCAATTTCAATTTTTTGCAGGATATTTGGTATTGGATTCATTTGCAAACCCAGATGAAATTAAGTCAATGAGGATCAGAATGGAACAATTACTTCATGATTTTGATTCCTCTTCTTCTGTTATCTTCTCTACTAAAGATCATGTTTGTTCTACTCAACCCATTTTTTAGTTTGACTTATTTAATCAAATTCACTCTTTTTCGTTTGAATATATTAATTTCATTATTGTTATTGTATGTTTGGTGATCAGAGTCATGCCAAAGATAATTACTTTTTTGATAGCGCTGAGAAGATTTCGTTTTTCTTTGAAGGTATTGAGTTTACTTGCATTGATTATATATTCTATGAGATTATTTGTTTATTCAAAACTTACTTGAATTTCGTATATATTTTGTTGAAAGTGTATGTATTCATTAATAGAGCAATATGATACCTTAAAGATGTTAATTGATTAAAGTTTGATGTTTTGTGGCTTAGTTAATTGATCGAAGTTGGATGTTTTCTATAACGCTAAAGACTTATAGAAAAGATGCTTTGTGGCTTAGTTAATTGATCAAAGTTTGATGTTTTGTGGCGTAGTTAATTGATCAAAGTTGGATGTTTTCTATAACGCTAAAGACTCATAGAAAAGATGCTTTGTGGCTTAGTTAATTGATCAAAGTTTGATGTTAAAGAAGCTTGAATTATAACTCAAGATAGTAATCCGAGAAGCAAAGGGTAGAATAGTAGTAATTATTGTGCATGATACCCCTTTAATTGATTCTTTTCATTCCATGATACCCCTTTAATTATGTAGTAAATTGCTGGTGTTGGCTTTCTGATTTATCTCTAAAGTTTCTGTGCTTTGTTTAAAACTTTGTTTATACAGTAAATAAACAAGCAAGACAGTTAGACAGTATAGGATCATGGGTGTTAAACTCATTTGGTGGCATTAGCAAGGAGTATCCTAGTATTTTGAAACGTATTTTCGTTATTGTTTGTATGAATTGTAATTTCTATGAGGTCTGAAATATTGTCATGCAGTCCCTTGATTATTTTAGATGGATATTTGATCATAGTTGATTGAATTTGTTGGATCAAAGTTTGCTTGAGTGGACAGTTGCTGAATGCAGATTTTACTATCTGCATTTTTCTATTTGATAGGAAGTTTGATTGCTTGAATGTGGTTGCATCATGGTTCAAAAAGGCTTGCTGTTTCAGTTCTTGGTTCGGATTATTGATCATGCTCAGAATATTTGCATGAGATTATAAATATCATGTCCACGTTGCTAATATTTAAAAGGTGCGAAAATTGTTTGTTTCTACCAGTGTCACATTGGTTGTCATATCAGCATTATTGCCATAACAAATTTAACCCCCCCCCCCCCCGCCGCAAATGAAAGGGAGTTTTGGGGAAGAGGGGGGGGTGGGGTGAAGGGGTAAAAGAAAATAGAAAAGAAGGGGAAATAAATTAAATAAATAAATAAATTTAAGGTTCCTGATATTTTTGGTGAAAGAAGGGTAAATGAAACTACCTGATATTTATAACAGAGATGAATATCTTAGAATTCTGTTATTGTAGAAGATTCTATCTAGGTGAGATAGGTGTGTTTTCACTTTTCACGAATAAGAGGTTTTTGTCTTGTATTGTTTTCCTCAAGAGGTCAATTTTTATTGATATACATGTTCCATATTGCTTTCAAAAACATTATTGACTTCTATGTCCTGATTTTGATGCTCTGGTTTTATTTAGAGAAAGCATTTGACGAGGACGGCAAACTAAAGCAGCCTAAAGAGCTTTCTATCAATAAAGTTGGCCATGGTATGTTATTGTATGGGTAACATTATTGGTAATCTTTTTCTTGTTTCTTTTTGGTCTATGTAGCTGCCTCTCACCTCTTTCAAAAGGATGGTTGTAAAGGTTCCAGTTTATTTTCCTTGTATAAAGATTTTGTATTAATACATTTTGACATTTGAATAAGTCTTTTTAAATTGCCACTGCAGCTCTACATGAACTGGATCCAGTTTTCAAAGAGTTTTCCTCCTCAAAGAGTTTCTCAAGCTTGCTCTCAAGTTTAGGTTACAAAAGGCCAGCAGTTGTTCAGTCTATGTACATCTTCAAGGTATAGCTGCATTTATCCCATGTTGTTGTTCTCACTTTCTGGTCTTTCCATTCAAAAACTGTGAAAGAATTTCAACTCATAAAGTCAATAGTGGAAAGAATTGCAATTAGAAACCGACTCAGTCCTAAGGGTGGATGCTTTATTTAAAAGTTAAGCATATGTTGCACCGTTGACATCTGTTATACCAATATAGCCAGGGAATGTTTTTTTTTTTTTTTTTTTTTTTTTTTTTTTTTTTTTTTTTTTTTATGATAATCTTGCTAGTAGGGATACTAGCATCCCTGGGAATCAGGATCACTCCCTGGCTCAATGAAGCAAAGACGTGACATAGAAAAGGCAGAACAGAGTCAGTTGCTTGGAAATTATTGCTGCAAGTTGATACTAAGACCTGTATTGATGATTTAGATTAGTAGTTTTTTGTTATAGCAGATTCTTCATAGATGCATGTATTTTTTAATAGAGAGGTTGCCTCTTACTTCCTAAAAATTTGAGCCTTCTAGTGATCCATGGTAAACTCTCTCCTTCTCCCCAGAAAGGACAACTGACCTGAAAAGTCGTCAAAGCAAATTGTGAGTTTAAAAGAACCTACACATGATCTTATGTTCCATTAAGAAAGTTTTAAAGTTAAATTTCACTTAAAGATGAAATTCTCTGTGATCTACGGACATTCCTTTATCTAATGCATATCATTTTCTTTGGAAAATACTATTTATGAAGTTACCATTTCATACCTAAGGCTTTTTTTAAGATGCTATTAGTAGGCATAATAATTAATACTCCCTGCATATTTTGATAAGAGGTGAGTGGGGTAGTTGGAGTATTAAAAAATTATAAAAGAAAGATAGTGAAGTTAATACTTTATTGAAAAGTAATGAATGTGAGAAGAAAGAAATAATAATAATAATAATAATAATAATAATAATAATAATAATAATAATAATAAAAAGTAGTAGTGAGTTTGGGTGGGGACCATGAAAGAGAAAGATATAATTTTAAAATGTAGTTTTTTGCCATAAAAAGGAAGTGTAACACTTATTATAACACGGAGGGAGTAACAACAAAATCAATCATGTAATTGGATATTGTATAGCCTTGGTTAGCTGAGTCGGATAAATGTCCTTGTAAAATTGTAAGCTAAAAGATGCTCTTTATGTGCAAACTACGAAGTATATGCCTGTCAGAAGAGGGGTTAAATGAAATTTAAATTTGGTTAAGGGCACCAAATGTCTGCTTCTCTTGTTTATTATAGGGTATACTGATGCAAGAAAGGATAAAACTAGAATTAGGTATCTAATAGTGAAGTATTAGCTGATTGTAAGATTTCCATTTTCAGCAACCAGGTATTGGTGGAGAAGTGGTGCCACACCAAGATAATTCATTTCTTTATACAGAACCACCAACATGTACTGGATTGTGGCTTGCACTAGAAGATGCCACAGTGATCAATGGCTGCCTTTGGGCAATCCCTGGTTCTCAAAAAAGTACATGACCTTCTGATATAATCTGTGGTCTAAATAATCCATGCATATTATAATTTTAATTTCTTAAACTAAATTTTCAGAGGGCCTTGTGAGAAGATTCATTAGAGATGACGAAGGGGTACATTTTGACCGCCCATCTCCATCATACGACCAGAATGATTTTGTTCCAATTGAAGTTAAAGCTGGTTCCTTGGTAGTCATCCATGGTGATCTTATTCATCAGAGGTTAGTCAACTCTCATGACTTCTTTTTAAACACTCAGTGTACAATGTGTTTTTTCTTATCTTTGGATATGCTCCACTGTAGTTTTGAGAACCAGTCACCGAGTTCAAGGCATGCTTATAGTTTGCATGTTGTGGACACTGATGGTTGCAAGTGGGCTGGAGATAATTGGTGAGTTGTCTGGATAATTTCTGCATTCTAGAATCTTATTATTTTATTAATATGTATTGAAATGTTTGCTCACTTTTTCCACTGTATGATCAGTGATGCCTAATGTGTTTGATGAGGTTCTAATTTACCCTTGGAGAATATAACAGGAAATATTGTTAGATGCTTCCTCCATTTCTATATTTACTTACAAAGTTACAACACACCACTTTGACACGCACTTCAAAGATATTAGACTAGGTAAACAAATAAATTATTTGAAACAATCTTAGCACCAATAAAAACACAGTGTTAAGTTGCTTCAGTTTAAATTTTATAGCCTAATCCATCACTTTCTCACACAGCGTGCCAAAAAAGGTGTGTTGCAACTATGAAAAACAGAGGAAGTAATACCTACTATACACCCTTTTATGTAGTACTCCCTTTGTATTTTATTACTTGTTCCACTTTCTTTTTGCGGCCGTATTTTATTACTTGCACCATTTCCTTTTTTGGGAACCTTTTACATTATTTTATTAACTTTTTCTCTCCTAGTGGGCCCCCAACTATCATACTTTAATATTTTGGAAAAATTGATAGAAATAATCCCAACTTTTGCCGGTTTGCTCAAAATAATCCCGATTCACTCAAAATGGTCCCAAGTGACCGGTAACCTGTAGAAGAGGTAATTTTTTTGTTGTTTAAGTGACACGTGTCACCACGTAAATGGTTGAAAATAAATTAAGAAAAAAGGCAACCTCACTACCACCCATGACAACCCCACCACCACCCACGTCTGGCGTGGCGGCGTCTCTCCTCCCACCGGCCGCCTAGATCCCCTCCCCCACTGGCTAGAACAGTCCCCCTCCCCTACTGCTGGCACCACCCTTTCCCGGCTCCCTTTCCCCCAAAACCCCACCATGAAACCTCCCAAGTCTAAAACTGAAATCCTAAAAAAAAACCAGCCCACTGCGCAAACCACCTAAATCGAAGTTCCCCCACCTTCAAAACCCTAGCGCTAGGGTTCCAAGGGTGGGGCCAATTTGGGTGGTTTGTGCGGTGGGATGAGTTTTTTTTTAAGGGTTTTCGTTTTTATTACGGTGGAGGTTAGGTGATTTAAGGGGAAGGAGGGAAATGCCGGCGTGAGGGAGGGATGGTTCGGGAGCCGGCACCGGCGTTAGGGAGGTTCGATGGCGGTGGTTAGGGGTTCGACAGCAACTTATGGGTGGTGGTAGGGAGGTTGTCGTGGTGGGCTGTTTTATTTTTTTAATTTAAAATTTTCAACCAATCTTGTGGTGCCACGTGTCCCATGACCCAATATAGTAGATTAGGTGACTGGTTAGGACTGTTTAAAGCGAATAGCCCCCAAAGTTTGGATTATTTAAAAATAGTTCAAAGTTGGGATTATTTTGAGCGAACCAACGACAATTGAGATTATTTTTATCAATTTTTCATAATATAATTAGATTCTCTCTCCTACCAACTATCATACTTTATTTTTCTACCAACTCCATTTCTTCATATTTTATTACTTTCTACTATTTTTCAACTCTGTGTATGAAGAAATGGAGCAAGTAATAAAATACGGAGAGAGTACCTTTTATTTTCTTTCGTATATGATATATTATAAAACATTTTCTTTTAAATACACCTTGTTTCATTTTCCAGCCATAAAGTCAAATTCATTATAGCTTGACTTTTATTCCTATCCAAATACAGTTAATACACCATTAATGCTTGAATTGCTTAGGTATTGCAACATTTCGCAGACACTGTGTTTTGATAGCTTTTTTGGAAGGAAATGGAGGGGAGGGGAGGAGAGAGAAGGGAAGGAGAGAAAAAAGAAAGGGAGGTCAGGAGAGGAAAGAAGTGAGCTTGCCGTTTCTTTCCAAATCTTTCCTACACTGAAAAGGCCTTAGTTTATCAAACAGGGAGGTTAAATAAATCCTCCAATTCTCTTTTTTTCCCTATCCAAGTCATCGAAACAAGGGAAAGATGTATCCCTCACTTTCTCTTTCTCCTTCTCCATTTCTGTACGAATCCAAAATTCCAAACACAACGTTAATATAGAGAATGCTTGCAGGATTTTCTACAGTAGCTATTTAAAACAGTCTGAATTTGTGTCTTCTTTCCCTGGTGCTGCAATTTCCACTTTCCACCCCCCCTCTCTTAGGCGCTAGTTTGGGAAAGACAGAATGCTTTCCATTTTAGGTGGGTGAGGGGACGATGATTATTATAATTTTTTGTTTATCTGACAATTAGAAACCAATGGCTGATATTGCCTTGTTAAGAAGCATGTTTAAAATTTTATGTTCCTGATAGTTGCAGTATGTGAATGATCTGTAGTGTTATTATTTTGTATAACTATGCTGTTGGCGATGGCCATCTGACAGGTTGTTCAGAAACAAAGTCCAATGGTTTGAGTTTCCATATATTGACTCTAATTGTATTCCATCTTTCCCGTGCTTGCAGGATCAGAAGAAAGCAGGAGCCAGAGCCCATATATGTTTCTTGATCCAACACATCCACTGGCCTGTTCTATCGACTGTTTGGCGCATTTGCAAGTTTTACTTCATAGTTAGAGTTGCACCATTTTGATTATAAAAAAACTGTTTTTTAAAAGAATATGTATGTTAGAATATGTACTACGACGTTTAAATGGCAATTTATTGACTGTCTTGCTGTATCCATTTCTATTTCTCATTGTTTTAAAGTCGTCGTTCAAACAGCTTATAAATGGTATAAAATCAATATCTAAGTGTTGGATATAGGAGAAATTAACAATGTGCCTTACAAGTTTGACAAGAAGATTTACTTCAAATCCAGCAAAACTCTCAGTTTGTAGCTCGACGTAGGATTTTTCTTCTACTGTTAATGTCCGGAGTATTATTCACTTTAGTCCACAACTGCCAAATAGTCTTTTGGAGGAAAAGGCAAATATACTGAAAAGAGGTACATAACTGTCATTAGTCCATAACTTCCGTGCTTATGCAATGCAGAATGGTGGATGATTGCAGTCATGACAAATTTTAGTGCTTATATCAATTCAGCCGAGTCACAGAGACGCTTGCTCAGACAAAATCCATCTAATGTCCACTGTATCAATTTCATAATGGAATATATTCAATGAGAAGTTCCAATCTTATGCTTTAAAAAATATTGATTGGTCTTGAGTACCATAACAAACATAACAGTTTAAAAGTTCCAAAGAATGCAAGACTGAGTTCCTAAGGCAACAATAGTTGCCGTTACTGCATTACATACTCATTTCACTTCTTTCTTTCCACCTTCATCAACCCCACATTCCACCCTCTCGCCTCTCGGTCCGAAAAAACTCCCCTTTCTGATAAATTACTAGTCTACATTCTTAAATATATACACATGTTCCCCCCTAATTCGCTGTGATACTTAACAGCCTTAATCACTTCAGATACTCCAATTGCTCAGGATAGTTCAATAATTTTATACAATAATCCTAGTTTTATCTTTACCCTCTATAATTACCAATAGATAAGCCAAAGCCCATGTTACTCAAGAAGCCTATTGCAGGTGCCAACTCCAACAGCTGCAGCAAGATGCCAAGCCGCATGAAGGTACGGAGTTTCTGGGAAAACATCATCAGCAACAAATAACACACCACCCAACAATGAACATGCCTTGTGGACATTGTGTGCCATTTTTAATTCTGGATCTTTGATTGCCCTTTGGGCAAATGCTACCTAGAAACAGAGAAACTCAACTTCAGTACAACAGCAAAAAAGGAAAAAAAAAATAAAAAAATAAAAAAATTTAATTTTTTTTAAAAAATCTATTAAAAATAACAATTTAGAAATTAAAAAGGCAGCTACCCTTAATACAACACAAATTTTTGCATGAAGTCAAGAAATAAAATAGTAGGAAAGTCAAGATTGTTTTCTACCTTGCTCTTGCTAATAACTTTTCAAAAAATAGAGGTTACCTATTGATCCAGTCATTCCATAATATAAAGAATCCATGTGCATATTTTGATTACTGATTTCTCGAACACATTGATAATTAAGCAAATTATGTCATATGAGAATAATTCATGGTCAAAAGTCTAACTTGAAAATACGAGTCCCTTATATTATGAAACAACTAATTTTTTCTTCTTCATAATTAGCCTAATATGATGTTATAAGACACTAAAGCACAGGAATCCAAATTCATCCAAACAAATTTAGCAGAGATATCAAAGTGGGAAACTACCTCCATCAAACCAGTATGAACAAGTGAAACCATAAGTGGTTGGAATGGTAGACACACAGCAGAAGCAGCCATCAGAAGTTTAGGATGTTCACTCCTAAGTGCTCTCGAAAGACACTGCAAGAATACTCCAACCATTAGGAATATGGATTGTGGACAACAAGAATACTACAACAATCACACTGTTGCACAACTAGAAATCATATTTATAGCAGATGATTGTCAACATGTTTGTCAAATGGTGGGTAATAATTCTTCTTGGCTGTTATAAGGAAATCTAGCTTGACAAGAGTCATAACCCTTTGGCCTCTGGCCACTAGCAGTAGTAAAATAGTTTCATATGTATTAAGAGCATCAAAATGCATCACAATTGATAGCTTAACCTGCTTCATAGCAGAGATATTCTTTCACAATTTGAGTGTGTCAGGTTATAATGAACATACATACAGAAGCAAACAGTCTGATAGCAACTGAGAAAGCTAGTAATTACAGTGTTATATTTAACTTGCATAAAAAAATGCACTCATCACAGCTTCCTTTTTTTTCTTCCTCTTTTGCATTTGTGATAGTTTTGTGAAAGCTCTGACTTTGTTCAAACATCCACCACTGCCTAGTACCTGCCTAAGATGATTTAAAGATCCTGGCCTAGCAAATCATCCCAAGAAAATTCATAGACTGGACATTTTTAACCCAAACAAGAAGCTACTAACTTAGCATGAACAATACAAGTTAAACTGTTAACTGCAAACTCTTCCGCTCTCTAGGTTTATATGTGTTATAAATTATGTATAGAGAAGGGTTACATTAGAAAATGATGTAGTTATTCTGTTATTGGGTTAGCTTGAGATAGAAATAAAAAGAATCAACTAGAAGGGGGGGGGGGGGGGGAAGGGAATCAGTGGGTCTATATATATAGAGGAGATTAGATAGCGAGAGAAGAAAAAATATTTTGAGTTTCTTATTTGCTTTAGAGTGTAGACGTGTGATAATAAAATCCCTCAAAAACTATCCTTTAACATTATGTAATTTCCAGGTTTTATTGCAAATGTTCATTTAATTTTATGCTTAGTTTCTGTTACAAATATCCAGTTCATTACAATATGTTACTCAATGATCAAGCTTCATCGTGCCAGACATTGATTTAGCCACAAGCTAATTTTTGGAATGTTTATACTCTTCAAATTTCCACTAACGAGGAATTGAAACAATTGCAAAACTTTGTAAGTACTTGTTTTTATCATATTACTTCCTCTGTTTCATTATAGTTAACCCATTACCTTTAGGCACCTTTTCCAACGCATACTTTAAAGGTAAATACTTTCAATTACGTATACAATAAATTATAAAAATTTGATACAGATCTTACAAGAACCTATATGACTATGTTTTTTCTATAACATTAAATCACAAAAAGAAGTCAAATTAACGTAGTTGTATATGAATAGTACCAAAAGTTAAAACATGTCAACTGAAAAGAAATTAAGGAAGTACATGGTAAATAATATAACTCTCATGAATCATGATTGCTTACTTCGGCCAAATGATATGTGGATGATGTTTCAACTTAAATTTTTTTACCCCAACCTCCTTAACAGTAAATTAACATGCATTATCTGAATTTAAATTTTCTATATTTTAAGCACGACGAAACATAGAGAAGTACTTGGGAAGTGAAACTCAAATACCCCATTTGAACAAGGTTCTGGTTATCATAGGAAACAGAGGTAGATTGGAAGTTCAATTTCTACCAGACAAAATTGCTTTATGTAGACATCAGAATTCTGCTTGCTGATGCTTAGTCCAGTACTTCTGATGCTCACAATCCATTTGATGATATCAACAACCAGTACTCCCCCAATCCCAAAATAATGGCAACATAGAATCAAATACAATGTATTTTCCTTTCAGTGTAATTATTTTACGTAAAAGAGCATTTTCATCTACCCGCCTATCTCATTCTAAGACCATCTTATGTTCACACTGATAGTATCTGGCCTCTTAGTAAAGTAAAGGCAAGTGCAGATAATTGAAATCAGCAGGTAATTCACATCAATCTTACCACAGTTGTAGTTGCTATCATGGTATAATCAACCCATCTCAAGAATTTCCTAATCCTGCCCCTGGAACAATGATACATGCTAGAGGCAACTCCAACTCCAATCAGAGAATTAGCATAGAGCTTGGAATTGAAACTTTTCCTGCACCACAATATACAAAAAGGATAAGGCACAGCCACAAGGTTTCAGACAAAAGATACCGTGGAAAGAAGAGAAAGGAATTACCTAGGTGCATTGGCTCCAAGAGCAATAAATGGAAGGGATGTTACAACATTAGCAACTGTTTCAGCAATATTTTGATCACCTACAGGTAAATAGGATAGCCATGAATATCCCCAGTGGCCTTCAACAATATACATTGCAATCTAATCTAGCAAATAAATGCAATAATCAGAATCCAAAATACCGGTATGGCAGCAATGGACAGGTCTTAAACGGATTGCTATTTGCTCCTGCACGCGTCTGACGATGTCCAAACAAGCAATTAGGTTATTAACATTGGTTCAAGTTGTTGGAAAATTTATGACCAACTGGTCAAGCTTCCCAAGATGCTATCATTCAGATGAAATCAATAGGCGAAGCAAATATGATAATTTATTGAAAATATAACAAAGGAAAAAGAGTGTTTTTTTTTTTCTTTCACCTACTGCATCAATACATGTCGACTAATTCTTGTATTGGAATCTTTACAAGTTGGCCTTTGGTCCCCGAGTTGAGTGACCTCTTCAACAACAAATGGAGCATGTGGCACCACCTGCACTCCATGCACACCCTCTAATGCTCTACTTGAATTCAATGCACTCTGGGGAACCATCTCCATTTAATTATAAAAATATGAACTGCCTACCCACAATAACTTGCAGGTAGCAGTCAAAAGAATTGTTGCTGCAGGAAACTTACTTTGTCAGCCGCGAGGCAGAGCTTCAAACTGGATTTTCTGTTGATAACACATTGAGGAAACATCAGTTCATCATTTAAAATAAGTTAACATGCAAGAAGAATATAAAGTATATGACAAGTGTTTGATCATGATGGAATTGCAAGACATGTTTTTTCCACAACAATTCACTTTCAAAAATAGCTGAAACATATGCCTTCGACGACCATAAGAGTCAAAGAGATACCAATAACTATTATATTTTTTAGCGTGCAACTTTCATTTTAGAGGGTGATAAATTTATAAACTATAATGTTGTTAACATAAAACGTGCTTTATATAGAGATTTAATTTGTCTCCTAGTTGTCAATGTTATATTCGAATTTTACACTTCACAAAATACTATTGAAAATACTTTATCAACAATTATTTCAGGCCGCATTCGAATCATATTCCTACTTAGTCTAATCAATGGGGAGAGGGTGAAAATTTAATTGCTAAAGAAATATACCAGATTTTAGTATTCCAGGGTAAATCAGACAAGTCAAAATTAACTTAATTACAGATTAGAAACCAATCTCAAACCTTTAAACAGTAATATTGACAATCATATCCCATTTTAAACTACCTTAATTAAAAAATTCAAGCTAACAGTCTATCTTTTTCAGATTAAATAACTTTCGAATACCTAAGACACCTTTAAATAACAATACTTTCCATCTACATAAGATACATACATTCATTCATTTGCTTTCTCATTTTGGAGCCAAACTTAAATAATTGTCATCAAAGCAGTGATTAATCAAAGGCAACTGTAATCACAAACTAAATTACTACTCCGTAATTCACTACTACTACATCATCTAAAAATACCCTTTTGTTATAATCCATCAATCATAAGAAAAATTCACATAATTAATATGTAATCATAAAAATGAAGAACCACAATAATTTCAAGCACCCATAACAAATTAGAGGTTAGTAAGAAGAAAATAAGATCAACCCAGTTCAAAAGTAATTGTACTCTAAAATGCAATGCTAATCAATCAAACTATATCAAGAAGAGAAATAATACCTGAGTAAAGAAGGGTAAATCCAGAGACCCAGAAACTTGGGAAGAAGCTAGAATGAAGAAGTAAAGTTGATTAAATTAAAATTAAAGTTATGATGATTAAAATAAAAAAAAAATGGAATAAATGGTGGTTAAATTGTAGAGTAGATGCGGATCACAGGAGAGGAGATGCGCGTGGGAGTGAGAATCTTCGGAAGAGGAGTCTCCAGCATATTCCTCTTCGTTGTCTAAAACAACATTATTACTCTTTCCTCTCTCCTATCGTTGTGCTTGTGCGAGTAATTCCACCAATGCCGTGCCGTATATTGATGCTACTTGTTGGCTAACGTTTTCTATCCTTCGGTCGGGTTTGGATTTGGGTTCAAACTCGGGTTTGGATTACGGAGTAGCCCTACGTGTACTATTTCCAAAAAAAAAAAAAAAAAAAAAAAAAAAACCTACTCTTACGTGATGCATGTGTGATTGTCTGATTGATGTGTGAAAGTTGAAAAATCTAACAAACTAACACAAACTATTGGGTGTGGCAAGTCGCATCCAGTTGTTTGTGCGGCAGTCCTCCTCTTCCCTTCTCTTTCTCTCTCCTTCTTCTCTTTCCTTTTCTTTATCTCTCCTCTACTCCTCCTTTTTACCATATCAAAATAAATCAAAATCAGTATTTCACATCAATTGCATAAAACAATCATAATTAATCCAAAGGGTGTATTATTCTCTTCCCTTCTCTTTCTCTCTCCTCTGTTGTTGTTGGTTGCAATTGTTTGCAAATTGTAGGAGATAGGGAGCTTGTGGTAGATTGAGCTAGGGTTGTAAGTAGGGCTACAGTGAAGGAGGTAGGGAGCTGGTGGCAAATTAAGCTGGGGCTGCAAGTGGCTGGTGGAGTGTTTGCTGTTGCGACGGTGGTCATGATGGTGGCATGAAGATTTTATTTGTTTGTTGTTAATGAGAAGCCCTATTCTCATTTGAAACAAAGAGAAAGAAAGAGAGGAAGAGGAGAAAAGAGGAGAGAGATGGAAATAAAAATGTATTGTATATTCTTAATCATATTAGCCAACAAATGACGCATATCAGCTATTAAAATGAACATATCAGCCAATTGATGTCTGATTTCAGTCAAGAACACTAGGGACAAATTAGACATTACTAAAAACATATCAGCCAAACAAGGAAGCCAACAAATGAAACATATTAACCAACAAATGAAACATATCGCTTCATCAAAATTATGTGAGTGCTAGAAACATAGATCCTCCAAAATATTGTTAAGTAAAATATAACAAAAGAAAGTACAAATAGTTTAAAATGTCAATTGTCCAAAAAATAGTCATTGTATACAAATTATATTACTCCGTAAGATACAAGAATTTGTTTTTTTTTTTTTTTTTTTTTTTTTTTTTTGGGTGGTGTATTTATCATGAGACAAACAATAAGATGATATTTGATCCACCACTCTATAAATGTTTTCAAAGACAATTTCCAATTAGTACACAATTTTCCTTAAGCACCTGTGTAGTATATAAAAAATAAGTAGTGTAATAACTAATAAGTCAAGTCTCGTGATTAACCTACTGAAAAAAGTATAAAGAAGTTTAAAATTAGAGTATTGTAAAGGAAATTATTTTAAAAATAATCCCAACTTTCACGTATTCGCTTTAAATAATCCCAACTTTGGATTATTATTAAATAATCCCAATTTTGGGGTATTTTTGCTCAAAAAAGGCCCTAACCGGTTACTAAGTTGTTATAATAGGTTAAGGTGACACGTGTCACCATGTGATTGGTTGAAAAATTTTAAAAATTAATTTTAAAAAAAAATTCCCAGCCTCCACCTACGAACAACCACCTTCCCTAGGCCACCACCCTACAAACCACCTTCCCCACTACCAGCTCAATGGCCAAAACCCTCTTCCACACTCATGCGCCGGCTATAGCTCCCTCCACCGTCAGATCTCCTGTGCTGCCTTTTTCGACGCCGCTTCCCCCAAAACTGCCAATCTCGAAGCCTAAGACCCCCTCAAAATCTCTAAACGACCTCCCCACCACACATAAACCCCAAACGACCTTTGCCCCCACCATCAGAACCCTAGCGCTAGGGTTCCGATGGTGGGGGGAAGGCTGTTTGGGGGGTTTTTTTGCGGCGAGGAGGCGTTTCAGGGGTTACTAGGGTTTAAGGATATGTGGGTTTGGTGGTTATTAGGGAGGTGGTGCCGAGAAGGCGGTGTCGACGCGGAAGAGCTGATCTGTGGTGGCCGGCGACCTGGATTGAATTTTTTTAAAATTTATTTTCAACCATTAACTCGATGACACGTGTCAATAATTTTTTTTTAAAAAAAAAAGTTTAACAAGTTACCGGTCACATGGGCCTATTTTGAGTGAATACACCCCAAAGTTGGGATTATTTAATAATAAGGAAAATTTGCCGAAAATAACAACACTTTTCACCGGTCTTCCATAAATGAAACCACCTTTAGATTATTCCAAAATAAAACATCCTTTGATACACATCTGCCAAAAATGAAACGTAAAACCTGTAACCTGTTTTATAGGTTACATTTGACATGTGTTACTTGGTGTTTGGTTAAAATATTTTTAATTTTTCTTTAATGATAATGATTTTAAAAAACAATACTTAAATTAAAATAACTTTAAAAAAATTTAAAACTAAAGAGAAAACTAAAAAGGAAAAATCCCTCCCCCTTACCGATAGCAACCCCACCAGCCCACCACCGCTCGACATCACCGCCAGCAGCCTAAGCCCTTTATTGGCACCGGTGATACCCTCTCTTGACCTAGTGCCAGACTATCCAACCCCTCCGTCCCCTTCCCCTGAACCACCTTCCGCTCACCCTGAATTCCCTCTCTTTCCCCTCGAAAACACTCCTCTCCTCACCGGAAAATGACCAAACTCACTTTTTATGCCGGCGAACTCGTTTATCCTCTCCACCGACCGTCTCTAACCACTTCCCCCTTGAACCACCACCTAAAAATCCTAAAACCCCAAAATCAAGTGGTGGTTTTTAGGGGTTTTTGACTTTTTGGTGGTGGTTCAAGGGGGAAGGGGTGGAGATTTGGGTGCACGCTGGTGGCTGGTGGTGGTGGGGATGCTGCCGGTTAAAGGGGTTTGCTCTTTTTTTTTGTTTTGTTTTGTTTTTAATTTTATTATTTTTTTAAAGTTTTTTTTTTAAAAAAAATTTGTTAAAAAAATTGACCAATGATATTGTGACATGTGTCACATATAACCTATTAAACATGTTACCAACCGGTCATGTTTCATTTTTGGCAGATGTGTATCAAAGGTCGTTTTATTTTGGAATAATCTAAAGGTCGTTTCATTTATGGAAGACCGGTGAAAGGTGGTGTTATTTTTGGCAAATTTTCCTAATAATAATCCAAAGTTGGGATTATTTAAAGCGAATTTGTGAAAGTTGGGATTATTTTTAACAAATTTTCCTACTGAAAAAGGTTGAATTAAATTATATGGGAGCTAAACTCCAATTCCTAATGTCAAGACATTTTAATATTTTCAAGCAAAATGTTTATTCAAATGATCACCCAATATAAAAAACTAATAAGAAAAATCTTTTATTGAGTTGAGTTTATTAACTCGAGTACTAGAATTTGTTATGAGTATGCATTTATGAAAGAATTAAATTAAAGTTAATGTATTATAAAACAAGATGTTCTAAATGAAGTTTGTGAATATTGTAAAAAATAAAAACATTGCGAGTAGATGTTAGTGTTCATGTTTAGTCTAAGGGCAGCCTTAAGGGTGAACAAAAAAATAGTTCACAATGAGTGAACAAGTGAATAGGTGGCTTAATGGTGATCTCTATAATTGTTCATAGTGAATGGTTGTGGGATCGATTGCTGCTGCAAGCATTTGCACGAATTTATGGATTGTGGGCCCCACCCATTTTTATTTTTTTTTCAGGAAAAAAATAGAAAGCAGCGGCTGGGAGCGCGCCACTTGGCCCAGCCGCTGCTTGACACGTGTCACTGTTTTAAATAAATCCGTTGTAATTTTGCAACGGATATATTTTACAAAACACAAATAAAAAAAAAAAAATTACCAACGGCTCTATTTTTTTCCCCTCTATAAATAGACACCCATATTGCTATACTTTCTTCAACTTTGAAAATCCATTTCTTTCTACTATATTTTTCTCTTCAAAAATCCCCTCTATAATTACCAATATTATTATTATTATTATTATTATTATTATTATTATTATTATTATTATTATTATTATTATTATTATTATTATTATTATTATTATTATTATTATTATTATTATTATTATTATTATTATTATTATTATTATTATTATTATTATTATTATTATTATTATTATCATCATCGTTATTATTATCATTTTTATTATTATTATTATTATCGTTATTATTATTATTTCCTTTATTATTATTATCGTTATTATTATTATCTTTATTATTATTGTCGTTATTATTATTGTTATTAAATTTTTATTTTTTCCAAATATAAATTATAATTATGGATGCTAATACCAACCCCAAAACAAATAGAAAGAAGAAAAAAAATTTGGGTCAAAATATGATCCTTCAAGCTCGTTTTGCCATTATTAAAAATCCGTCTTTGGCGTGGGATACCGACATACTCCACAATATCATGCTCGCCTGCATCATAATACATAATATGATCGTTGAAGATGAACGAGAGACGTATCAAAATAACGTTAATACCAATGAGTTTATGAATGCTGGAGGCAACGCTAATGAGGACACTACCGAGTACCGTACTGATCGTATTGTGGATATCGGCTTATACTTGTCTCGTAGAACAGAGATTGAGGATCAACAGACTCATTTGCAGCTAAAAAACGACTTGGTCGAACATATATGGAATAAATTTGGTAACAACGAAAACTTAGGCAACTAGGTTTACAACAAATGGTTATCCCTAAGGACATCTTACAAAACGATGTGTAGTTGTTTTTTTTTTTTAAATAAAATGTACTAGATTATAGTTGTAGAACTGTAATCACGATTTGTACCTCTTTTTTTTTTGTTAATTAAAATTAGCTGCGTTGTTGTTTAAAAAATATTAATCACAAGAATTAGTTTTTTAAAAAGCTGATAAAAAAATGCGATAATTTCTTAATTAGTAATCACGATTAAAATATTAAATACGTCAATTAATTACATTGACATCGGGTTAATAAATTATAATTATGAAACAAAAAAGATTATATTTACAAAAATAAAATAAGGTGGGGTAGGGAGTATTGATGATGAACCATTGTTTAGTGTTCATTGTTAAGAGTGAATATTGTAAATGGTTTGTTGGGTTGATGTGGATGAGAGAGAAATGGTGATAGTGACCCATGAACCATTTATTTGGGTTCACCAATAAAGATGCTCTAAAAATGTGCAAAGTATTATTCTACAGAATTAAGGATGTTTAAAGTAGATTGATGATTAAAAGTTGATGTTTTAATACATACACTTGTCCACGTGACTACATTTAGCTATATTTTTGTTGGAAATGGTCCTCGTTTCCAATGTTATGCATTTAGATTTCCTTGAGCGAAACACAAGATTGGAAAGATAGATTTTTTTAATACTTCCTCTATTCTTTTTTACTTGACCTGTTTCTTTTATCACGCTTGTCAATGCAAAACTTTAACAATCAATAACTTTAATTCTCAATAAGTAAAAACTATAAAAGTTATATATTA